ACACACTGGTCTTGATCTTGTCTTGGTCTCGGTTTAGGTGGCCTTGACTACAACACTATCTGGTGGTAAATAAATAAATAGACAAGTCACCAAATAGGTTGACCAGTGTCAGTCATGAAACTTGCATTGTATAATATAATTACATTATTTCTTTTTGTATTAATTCAGTGAGCTAATATTGTTTAAATTGTATGAAACTATACTATTCAAAAGTTTGGGGTCAGTAAGATTTTTTAATGTTTTAGAAAGAAGTCTCTTATGTTCACCAAGGCTGCATTTATTTATTTATATATTTTAGATACAAAAATACAGTGAAAACAAATATTAATACAATTTAAAATTCAATAATTTAAAATGTAATTTATTCCTGTAATGGAAAAGCTGAATTTTCATCAGTCATTACTCCAGTCTTCAGAGTCACATAATCCTTCGGATATCATTCTAATATGCTGAGTGATTTGTTGCTCAGGTAACATTTATTTTTATTATTAATGTTGAAAACAGTTTTGCTGCATAATAGTTTTGTGGAAACCTTGATACATTTTTTGAGGATGCTTTGATGAATACAAAGGTATAGATTAAAATGATGAATTAGAATATCAGAAATGTATTTACTGTCACTTCTGATCAATATAATGCGTCCCTACTGAAAAAAACCCCATTAATCTTACTGGCACCAAATTTGTGATCTTTGATTTTAAGTAAATTTGATGATTTGTTCTACTAAGGTAGCTTATTGTAAACTGACTAACTGAGGTCCAATTTTAATGAGAGTTCAAATATAATTATTTTGACATTTCATTTAATATGGTATGTGTGATGATCTGCGGCTGGAGTGCCCGCTTGAGCCTCTGGGGAGCACTCCTTCCTAGTTTATTATTTCCATTATGTTTTTCCCTGAACTGATTATGGTTGATTTTATGCACCTGTGTTTGATTATCTTGTTTAGCGCACCTGTCTTAAGCCTGAGTTATCCCTGTGTCCAGGGCGAAGTCTTGTTTTGCCCTGCAGACATTTCCAAGTATCCCGGGTTTTCCTGTTTTCTCTCTGTGTGCTTTTCTGTTTAATAAAGTTACTGCACTCAACCCGTCTCCACTGTTGTCAGCCCTGAACCGATCCGGGTTCCACGTCAAGCTCGCCCAGTGAAGTACGACACGGATACTGGAGCAGAGATCATGTGTTTACGTCAAGAGGGTCGTTCGATTGAGTGGTATGTCGAGGAGTTTGTTGAACTCGCACGTTTCACGAGAATGACCACCGTATGTTTAAATATCTTTTTCCGGGGAGGGTTGTCCAACCGCTTCGCTCAAGGATGCCCTACCCTGAACCTGACTGCACTTTGACCCAATATATTGACCTGGCCCTTTCCATGAGCGGTTCGCCTTTTACTGTTGGTTTTTTGGAACTTTTGCTTCACAAAGGACCCGACGATTTGCCACTTTACAAGGTACCCACTGAATCCACGCATCAATTGTCTCCCGGTGAACCAGCGCATCACGCGTGCTCCGCCGAGTTTGCGCTACATGAAAGCCCAGTTGAACCAGCGCTTCGTAAAGGGTCCGCCGTATCCACGCAACATGTGAATCCCGACGTTCTAACACTTCACGTAAGCTCTGTTATATTCCTGCCTCAAGAGTTTTCTACTGAGTCTGAGCGCGTGCCAGCCGAGTCAAGTGCCGCCGAGTCGAGTGAGTCAAGTGCCAAGTCAAGTGAACCGAATCCCGAGTCAAGTGAACCGAATCCCGAGTCAAGTGAACCGAATCCCGAGTCAAGTGAACCGAATCCCGAGTCAAGTAAACCGAATCCCGAGTCAAGTGAACCGAGTACCGAGTCGAGCGTGCCAAGCGCCGAGTCAAGTGCATCTTCCAGTGAATCAAGTGCATCCTCCAGTGAATCAAGTGCATCCTCCAGTGAATCAAGTGCATCGTCCAGTGCATCGAGTGCCGAATCAAGTGCATCGAGTGAATCAAGCCCTGTGACGCGCCGCCGCAGGAGGAGGAGGAGGACTCGTTCGGCTCGCCAGGCTCCGGTGAGCGTACCCAGACTCCTCGCCCTGCCGGCCCCGCCTCTGCGCCTCGCCCTGCCGGCCCCACCTCTGCGCCTCGCCCTGCCGGCCCCTCCTCTGCGCCTCGCCCTGCCGGCCCCGTCTCTCAAGCTCCATGAGACTGTCCCAGAGCTTCACGTCAGCCACAACAAGCCAGAGTTTCACGACAGCCTTGACGATCTTGTTCTTCACGAACATACAGTCCCAGAGCCCTTGTCAGTCCCAGAGCCCTTGTCAGTCCCAGAGCCGGTTCTTGTTCCAACCCATGTCCCCGTAGGTTCCTCCAAGTATTTTTTTGGGGGGGGGGGGGGGCATTAGGATCCACGAGGGGACCATGAATGTCGTGCTGCTATGGTCTCCTGAGGGGTCTTCTCTGCCATGGCGGCCCGAGAGGTCTTCACACCCAGGGAAGCCTGAGGGGGCTCCACCCTGGCCTTCGTCTCATCCTGCTCCACCCTGGTCACAGGCCGAGTCTGGTCCGCCCAAGCTCTGCGGCCGAGGCCCGCCTGGGCTACTTCCTGGTCCCGTTCCCCTGCACGGGCCTGGCCCTCCATCCCAGCCCCCGTTGACCTCCCCCCGGAGCACTTAGGAGCGTCTGGAAGCCGCTCCTTTGAGGGGGGGCTATGTGATGATCTGCGGCTGGAGTGCCCGCTTGAGCCTCTGGGGGGCACTCCTTCCTAGTTTATTATTTCCATTATGTTTTTCCCTGAACTGATTATGGTTGATTTTATGCACCTGTGTTTGATTATCTTGTTTAGCGCACCTGTCTTAAGCCTGAGTTATCCCTGTGTCCAGGGCGAAGTCTTGTTTTGCCCTGCAGACATTTCCAAGTATCCCAGGTTTTCCTGTTTTCGCTCTGTGTGCTTTTCTGTTTAATAAAGTTACTGCGAATGGATCCGCACGACTCTGCCTCTTCGTTACAGTATGATTATAATCTGCCACTCAATTCATTTTTAGTTTTGGCTTAGGCCTATGTCTTTCAGTTTTGTCTTCCCAGAATTTGATTTGACATTAATGTGATACAGTTAAGTAAGTTTAGGCTAACACGCTTATTAGAGAGGTCTGAGGGAAAAAACTGAATTTAAACTAATAGACACAGAGCAATAGTATAATAGTAGGGTAGAAATTATTTTATTTTTGGTCAGAAATGTGGACACATTACTATCTCTTATGCTCATCAAGTCTGGATTTATTTGATCAAAAATACAGAAAAACAATGAATTTAAAATAATGTTTTCTATTACTTTAAAATATAATTTATTTCTGTGATGAAAAGCTGCATTTTCAACAGCCATAACAGTCTTCAGTGTCACATGATCCTTCAGAAATCATTCTAATAAAACAGTTGTGCTGCTTCATTTTATTTTGGAACTTGTGATACTTTTTTCAGGATTCATTGATGAATAAAAAGCATTTAGTTAAAATAGAAATTCTTTCATAAGTCTTTACTATCACTTTTTATCAATTTAGCACATCCTTGCTAAATAAAAGTATTAATTTATTTCACAAAGAAAGAGAGAAAGAAATACTGACCCCAAACTTTTGAACTGTAGCCTATTGGTTTTTATAAATATAATTTTAAATAAATGCTGTTCTTTTTTTAAAACTTTAACTCAAAATCCTGAAAAAAATATCAAAGGTTATATGGGTATATTGAAATAGAAAACTATTTTAAACTGTAGTAATATTTTACAATATTACTGTTTTTTTCTTCTGTATTAGATAAAATGCAGTATTGATGAGCATAAGAGACTTCTTTCAAAAACATTAAAAATAGCAATGTCTCCAAACTTTTGACCGGTACTTATATATATATATATGCCCCTTTTTACGTTTGAGCCCCTGTCCCTGAGGAACTCTTTGCACGTCCCTGAGACAGAGTATTTAATACATTACTATCTGAGACATAAACCATAAAAAAATATGACTTGTCACCATAGCCTACATCACAGCTCCAGCTCCTATCGTCAATGAAATGAATGTATGAATGTGTCCGGGCGCGCGCACTTCCGCTGCCCCCACCCGCGAGACTGGACCATCTGATCTTCATCCTACGTAAGACCGTCGCTCCGCCTCGCTCTCCTATCAGACCGTTTCCCCTACCGCATCCATTTTTGTGCATTCAAGAAATCTCTTGGAGTTAGCAGCAGCAACCAAGAGGGAATCGTGGGGAAGGTTGTGAGCGAGGACGCCGATAACCGCAATAAGGGATCGCGCGCCCCGCCATTGGACGATGCGCGAGAGCTCTCCATTCGCAGCAGCAGCCATGGGTTAGACTGCATTCACCATGATTGCGAAATAAAAGGCAAGCACTCGTTTTCTCTCCAAACACATTCGACAGGCATGCTTGGGATGCCCTCGGCTCCCGGAAACCGGCATGTAACTCGAGAAGCCCCCAGGGTTTTACACCTTATTCTCAGAAGATGCTTGTTTTTATGAGACAGCGTGACAAGTTACATTGTGAACCGTACTACACGCGTTCCCCATGCTGTCACTGGGTTATATTGTTTATCGTTAATAATGTTCTAAATGTACTGCATATTCAATGTAGCCTACATACACCGGCTGTCTGTGATGAATCTGATGGTATCATAGATGAGATAATGTGTTGTCATAAAACATACCGACTTCAGGGTCAGGACATAATGGCATTTAGACTCTATACTATACACTCTAAAACAAATAAAAACAATTAAATAAAACACACACACACACACACACACATATATATATTTTTTTGGTTATTTTTTTATTATTATTATTTCTTTTTTTAAGAACTGTTCACTGAAAGGTTCTTTGGGGTACCAACAATATTTTTTTTTTGGCATCACTGTTATTTTTATGAGCGAGATCCATACAGTTATGTATCCCATAAGTCTATAACAAGAGCACATGTGTAGGCTGCATGGATTCTCTGCAGATGTATTTAATGTTCATCCATTGCTCTTTCAGCAGCTACACCTGAAAATGACAGCTCGGGGGGCCCCAGCCGCATCCCCTGCGGCTCCTGCTCCGCCGGACATGCCGGACCTGAGCCACCTCACCGAGGAGGAGAGGAAGATCATCCTCTCGGTCATGGATCGACAGAAGAAAGAGGAGGAGAAAGAGCAGTCCATGCTGAAGTAAGCCAGCTGATTGTGTTCAGCACCCTTAATAGAGAGGGCTTGAGGGCTCTGTACTCTTATAAGTAATGCTTCTTTATTGGCATATGGTTCCCTGGAGAACCTTTTAACATCCATTCCACAAAAGGTTCTTTATAGTGGAAGATGGTTCTTTAGATTACTAAACTGTTCTTCACACTAAAAAATGGTTCTTTTCAGAACTCTTGACTAAAATGTTCTTTAGGGAACCAAAAACGGTTCTATATGGCATTGCTGAGGGAACCTGTATTTTAAAGAGTGTCTGTTGGCTCGCAGTGCTGCAGTCACGGGCTTGTGGATGATGGCTGCATTTGTCTCTTTAAAACCCTCCCTGTTATTTTCAGCATGACTGTCTCCTGAAATGTAATACGTCTGCTTACGTAGACTGTCAATATTAGGCTATTGTTGAGAGGGGCCCGGATAAAATGCCCGGGTTAACCATCAGAGAGGTCAATGTCACGCGCCTCGGAGGTTTTCGTGGCTCGCGCCGTGTGTGCATGTAGTATTTTGTCTCAGTTATGGTCATTCTGTGAGGCTCTGGTGGGTTGGGTTAGCTGTGGGCGCCATCTTCGCTAAAAATCCCATCAGCTGCCGTTTACTAGAGATTACTACACGTTTTAATGCGTGCTGTCGAATAGGTCAGATGTTAAACATTAACGCGAAACCTAGCGCAAGTATATTTGCGCGATTGCGGTTGCCGTGGAAGCTCCGTGCGGTGTTTTCAGCACCACGACGCTGTCCACTCGCGCTCGCAGTGCGGATGTGTTTTCTCCTGAGTCGATGCATGTATGGAGCGCGGTGTGTGCTGGCAGAAAGTCTTTCTCTCTCTGCGTGTGTTTGCTTGGCATGCTGTATTAATCGCAAGGGTGCACCTGTTGGCTGGTAGTTGGTAGGGAGTTGACATGATGTCAAGCAGTGACAGTGGTGTCCTGCAGTGTAACATGCAATAATTCCTCTACTTCTGCATTGGTGTAATGTTTAATTCTTATTGTGTACTGTACTGTATACATATTTGAAACCATTGAGTGATTCAGTGGGAGTATTAGAATCTGACATTTTGGAGTCAACATAGTCAAAAATATGCCTAGTAAGTTAACTTAGTGCGGAATCTTAATTAATGCAGAATAGTGCAGAATCTTAAAAGATGTTTATTTGTTCATTCCCAGGCTTAAATTATATATATATATATATATATATATATATATATATATATATAATCTATGTTATATACAGTATATAAATAAACTTGTTTATTTGTAGCATGAAATACACTAATTAAGCTCTTCCCTATTTCTAGGTTACTAATAAAACAAATGTAAGCATATTTGTGATTATGTTGACTTCAAAAGGTCAGAAGCATGACAATTTGAGTGAAAACTACAAGAGAAAAATTGGCATGAATTGGTACATTTCTTAGAATTTCATTTCTCCCCCGTCTTTTGTTTTAATTCATGCACTTGAGCTGCATGAGCTACACAAGTTTGTATGAAACCTGATGATCATGTTTACCAGCATGATTTGAGAATGATCCAAAAGAGCGCCTTGTGCTTCAATGGAATCAAGAGCATCTGAACGTCTGTACAAAGATTTCACATGATCATCAATTGCGTACTCTGGATTCGCTATGTCACAGTCATCTGCTATTTCTGTATAAGCACTACACACTGGACTTTGCTTTACTAGAGACAAAGTAAACTGATGGTTTTATCTAAGTATATTGCTCAAGGCACTGGGAAGAATTTTAAATATTTATTTCAACTATCCCATAATTAAGCATCTGTTTATCTAGCAGTTTATCTGTTTATCTTTATTTATCTTGCTGTCTGGTTCTAATTATTCCCATTAAGATTTGCTCTTACATGCAGTCGGCTCTCTTTTTAGAAAGAGAGAGAGAGAGTAGACATTATTTACTGGAGTGGCCCACTTGGCTCTAAGTTCCAAGGCTGGAGTGAACCCAGTGAACTTCTAATTCTGTGCCAGTGTACCCGCTCAGGTCTGTTTGTAGACCACCTGACCACCATCGGTGCCAAACAGCATGAGCTCCAGCTGCAGTACGCCTTTGCCATGTGCCTGTTTTTCAATGGGAAACTGAGACTATTCTGTAATGAACTAACCAATTGAAGCTGGTGTAACTCACCTCCCGTGAGGTTTGTGTATTATCACCTGATTAATATATATATATATATATATATATTAAAAACATATTAAAAAATACTTAATTGTCTCAAGCTCTTATTGCAAATTGTGGTTGATTGCACTCTCAGCTGTCACACTAACAGAGTGAACTGTTGGAATAGTGGCCGTTAAATGATAAATGCATAATACATGATCGTTAAATGCATAATGTCAGCATGTTTAGATTATGGCTGAAATGGTTACTTTTTTTAAAAAGTAAAAAAAAAAAAAAAAAATGCCTGATGAAGGTCGTGAGACCAAAACGTTGCTAATAAAGAGTTTTTAAATGCAAGTTTTGATAGTGTGCGGGAGTTTCTCGTTTGCAGATTGTCGACCGATCTTTTTCGGTTATTTTTCCTACGCACCTATTATCTGCAGGTGTGCGATGTTTTTTCTTTATTGAAAAAAAATATATGTAAAAGATATTTTGATAAATAGTGACATAAGACATTTATAATGTTAAAATGTTTTGTAAAAATTCCAAATTTATATGTAAAATAAATGTTAATTTGAAGTTTATCAAAGAATCCAAAAAAAAAAAAAAAAAAAAAAAAAAATCACACGGTTTCCACAAAAGTGTTAAGCAGCACAACTGTTTTTAACATTGTGTAAGTTACAGTTTAAATTATATGATTATATATATAATTAATTTTAACAAATTATAATTAATTATAAATATGTGAATGTTTTAGAATTGACTGTAGCAGAATTAATAGTACAATTATTTAATCAGTTCATCCAATGAACAGAAAGCATAATCAATTATTAATTCTAGGAAATATATTATTTTCCTGGCCAAGAAAGAATAACCTTTTCCAGCTACAGTAAATCAAGTACTAGCAGGGTAATAGCATAGGTAGCTAGATCAAGATGTTTAAGTGACTTCGATATTTTTGTGAGTGGCAAACACAGAGACAATAAAGTGTGAATGTAATGGTTTGATAAACGAAACTACGGTAGGCTACACACACAACTAAACTAAGCAAAAATTGTATACAGAATCAAGAAAGTAAAGAGAAGTGAAGAAAGAGAGAGAGAAGAAAAGAGAATGGCAAGATTACAATCAGTTAACCACAACCTACGAGAAACATCAGAGAATCAGGGTCACCTTAAAGGGGCACAATAACTTAGAAACACATCTAAAGGCTGCAAACGGGTACTTGCAATTGGTTTTGGTTGCTGAACAAGTCCAGATGCAGGAGATTCTTGATGATTTTGCAAGGAGTGTGCTGAAGCGTTCATTTGGGTTCTTGGGGTGGTCCACGTTAAATCAAAAGAAGTTAACTTGAAGATGAAGTTGCCGGAAGAAGACAGGAGGATGTTGTCTCAAAGAGATTGAGCCAAGTTCTGATCTAATCAGATACTTTTAAGGGTCCTATCAGTTCACACCCATCTGGTGAGGTGACCAATCTAAGATGACCTGGAGAAAGTCTTTGTTCATCTTATCTCCATTTGCATGTTCATGGTGGCATGGAAAATTTGTGCAGTCTTTGAACCGTATGTATGGTAAAAAGTATGGTAAAAATATCCTGATGCAATTTATCATAACATATTGTACACCATTGATTATCAAATCAAAAGAGGATTATTTTGATACCAAGAAAGAGGGGATTTGAAGACATTAAAGCAGTGATACATCATCTTTGGATATCAACATTGGAAGTTACTCTAACATAACTAAAGAATCATAACTAGTCATAACTAATAAAACATAGGGACATGCATAAAACACATGAGGAATACTATAAACATTTGCATATAAACATTTGCATTTACTAAACATAAACGTTTGTGGATATGAATGGAGTAAGTGTCCTTGTGTATTGGAAGTTTATCTCTATAGTCTTTGACCAAATGGGTAGTGCTGTCTGGTCTCCTGTGCTGTCTTTGAGACAAGGTTTTCTGAAGACTAGGGCATTTTGATTAAAGGGTTAGTTCACCCAAAAATGAAAATTCTGTCAGTAATTACTCACCCTCATGTTGTTCCAACCCCGTAAGACTTTCGTTCATCTTCGGAACACAAATTCGAAGTCCACAGTAGTCGATTGTCAAGTTCGCGCGCGCGATCATTAGTTATATTAGTTACCAATGACCACGCGCGCGAACTCGACAATCGACTACTGTGGACTTCGAACGAAAACAGGAAGTAAATACAGGTATGTGAGCTGGCTGAATTAACATCATTTTTATTAATATCTGTCACATCTACTGCAGTCAGATTGACCGTGGTCACTCTTAATAACACCACTCGGATGGCTGTGCACTTGTAATGACAAATCAAGGATGTTAAGAGGCTAAAAGCAGGTTTAGAACTTGCCCCATTGAAGTCAACAGGGTGCGAATTTTAAAAAGAGGATAACACGGTGTAGGCAACACCGATTTTTGTCGTTTTTGTCTGTACTGACAGCACTCCAAATGTACAAAAAAATTAGCTCATTGTTAAAATTGACCGGAGTTCTCCTTTAAGGGATCGAAACTGACCGGCCCAAAAGTTATGAAAGACATCGTTAAAATAGTCCGAGTGACTACAGTGGCTCAATCTTAAGTTTATCAAGTGACGCGAATACTTTTTGTGCGCAAAAAAACAAACAAAAATAACGACTTTATTCAACTAATCATTTCCTTCCCTGTGGGCCTTGATATTTCACGTAGTGATATATTGTGCAAAGCTTCTAGGTTGCATGTCACACGTAGGCTCACTATTGGCCGACGCTGGTCATGTGTGTGATGCGTGACGTACAACCTAGAAGCTTTGCGTAGTTTCACTATGTGAAATATCACGGCCGAACAGAGAAGGAAATGAATAG